AAAAGAGAAAAATGTTTAAAATATACAGGATAGTTATAGTTATTTTCAGGTGGCTCAAACAATAACACATCGATCACTTGAATTTGCTTTTACTTGTGATTATTTATACAGGTAGTCCCTGACTTATGACCACAATTGAGCTCAAAACTTCTGTTGCTAAGTGAAATAGTTGTTAAATGAGTTTTGCCCCATTTTATGACCTTTCCTGCCACAGTTGTTAAGTGAATCACTGCAGTTGTTTAAGCTAGTAACATGTTTGTTAAGTGAGTCTGGCTTCCCCATTGACTTTGGTTTGCCAGAAGTTTGCAAAATGTGATCACGAGAGCCCCGGATACTGCAACTGTCATAAATTTGACCCAGTTGCCAAGGGTCCAAATTTTGATCATGTGACCATGAGGATATTGCAATGGTTGTAGGTGTGAAAACGATCATAAGTCACTTTTTTCAGTACCATTGTAACTGAACAGTCACTAAATGAATGATTATCATTCGAGAACTACTTGTATACTTTGATACATAACAATACTTTCCCCACCATTGTTTCCCTGTGAGATGCCAGTGATTGAAGAATAGTTTTGACAGCTTTCTCTGCCCTGATACTCTTCAGGTATATTGCTATTGTAACACCAAGAACTCCCAACCAGCATAACTCTCTGTTACAGTCCCAAAACAACTGGAAAATTCCAGATAGGTGCAGGCTAAGCTAGAAATATGGGAAATCTGTCAGGGAGGGAAGAGGATACACCAGTTGTTAATGTTATGGCAATACAACTGCATGAGTTGTTCTTTTCTTATGTAGGTTGCCTCTTTGGTGTTTGCATGAGTCATTTCTCCAGACTTGCCTTCTTCCAGTCAGGAGGCATGCCCAGATCAGTGATTCATCCCAACATGTTGGAAGTAAGAACATGGGAAGCTGAATTGAGTTGTTCAGGCAAACTGTCTATTTAATCCATAATTTGTTTTCTCTGACTGACAGAAGCTTTTTGCATTAACTGTCAACTATTTGGAGGAAAAAGTAAAGAATAGGTGTATCTCCCCAAATTTCACCATTGTTGAGGGTCTTGGATTGTTTGCTTGACACAATAATTCATCTTGCTCTAAGTAGAAAAATGCATATGTTCCTTTTGCCTTCATTCCTTGCATACAGAGCCTGTCAGTTACTTTGGATACTAGATTCTTTTTGTTTGGTTTATATTTTGGACAGGGAAGAGAACTTCTAAGAAATCTGATGTAATGTTATAGACCTCTGTCTGTGATTATGTATTCCCACATAATTTCTTTTGAGAAAGAGAGAGGTAGGGATTGCATAAAGACAAGGTTTGTTTAACTGGTGTTTGTTGAATAAACTGTGACTGGCTGTAATCACACATTAGGTTAAACCATAAATTTTGGTTAACAGAGCACAAAATGGCTGGGTTCACCCAAACCAGTCTCTCTTTCCCCACCCCGTCTCTCTCATACAGCCACCCATCTCCCCAAGGCCAACTCTAGGGAGCACACAACAAAATAGTTTACAATAGAATAGAATATTAGTGGCTTATGGTTGAACTAGGGTTGAATTCTTAGTGCTCTCTGAGTTTGGTTATTTGCTTGCAGACCTTACATTACCCAACTAGATAACATCATCAGTGCTAGTGAGTGTGGAGTTTGCTCCCTGTTTATATACAGTCGTCAATGTTGATGGAAGTGTGGTTTTTCTCCTTAGTAGTTCCTTGATTGGGATATTGTTTTCTGCTTGATGGTCTAAGCTACAATATAGCTTAATATGTGAATCCAGTTGTACTTTTAACTACTTTTTATTTAATATAAATAATAGGGGCTGGAGTATTTAGAAAGTATTGCCCTTATTGTATTTGTTTTCCTTTCTTTAATAAAGGGGCAAGGAACATATACCGGTCATTAAAAAAAGAGCTTGATCTTCAAGTTGGTACCTATTTAACTGGAAGCCTAACTCTTAACTCTGAGTTGGTGGCTTTTTAGAAATGAAATAAACTTGCCCTGCATGTGATGCCTTTTGCCCAAAAAAGGAATAAAGCAAAGCAAGGAAATGAGGGAGCAAAGTGTGTGTCTGGATGTGACTCTAGTTGATAGGAGGAAACATTCTGATCAATCCATGTTTTGTATCTATGACAGCCATTTTATGAATGGGCAGGTTTCCTTCCATAAGCTATTTTATGAAAGCACCACAACTTGATCCCAAAATATCAAATATTCCCATCACCCGAGAAAGGTCTGAAGCCCTAGTGGAAGCTTCTAGTGCTCCAGATTTCTCTTATTTATAAACACATTTCCTTCAGCTTTTAAAACTCGTTCAAAAATGTACTATTATGATAAGTTCTACTGCTTCTAGAGTTGGACTAGAAAGATACAATCATATTAGCGTCCTGGGAAATAGAGTTGAACAGAGGTGAAGAGAAGCTGGTCTGCAAAGCAGGAAGACTAAATTTAAATCCTATCCCAATCCACATGGAAGCTTTGGTAGCTTCTGCCTCTAAGGTTGGAAGGATCAAAAAAAGGGGCAGATTCAGATCCTTTCTAGTAGTCCCCAAACATCTGCTTAACTAGTTGCGATTTGAGGGAAATTCTACATGGAACCAAAGACAGAATAAGCTCCCCCCCCTCCCTTCTATTTCAGCAGTACAAGCCCAATAAGACTCTGAATGTGGTGGCACCTCCGTTTTTCAGCTGCCGACCAAATCACTTAAGTCCAAGTGAAGTCAGTGGTATTTCAGTAGCAAAATTGTGACCAGGGCTTCAGCCTTTGAGTGGAATTGGGTTCCTCGAAGTCTACATTTCCTAGAAGAAAAGTTAGAATGCTTATGCCCTAAATAAAATATGGAATTTTAGACTTTGTATAATCTTTTCAATTTATATAGATTTTAATCAGATTTTAAGGAATTTGGAAAAAAATATAATTTCTGTTCTGTTGTTTCGAGCTGAGCAGTTTCTCATAAAGAGGTTGATCCAAAGGTTAGAGCAGCTAAACTTAGACTGACTCTATCTTAAAATCCCTAATTAGGGAGTTGGATGATAAATAGTTGCATGACCTCATGCAGCCATGAAATAGTTATGTAACTTTGGCACAGAACTTTGCAACCAATCATATCTAATGCCTATTATAGACAGGTTTGTCAGCAATCTTTTTCTCAGTGCTAGAAGGATAACACTGGTCCTCTTTAAAATGGTTGTTGAACCCAAGTGAGTATGAATGATGAGTGAGTGATGAATGTACATGGAGACTCCTCAAGAGTTTGGTGAGATTTTCCAGAATAATTAGACAAGCTTCTTTTAAATTGGGGTTTCTGTCACTACCATTCTCTCAACTGATTTAATTTTATTGCTCATTTATATACAGGCAGATTATTACTGATATTATTTGCCTTTCCACTAAATGTCCATGATGATTTATAAAATTGTTAAAATGTATTCTTTTTTTAAAAAGAGGAAATTAAAATAAGTTTATCTTTCTCAGACTCTGAAATCAGTTTTATTTGTTTTTGAGGGATAATGAGTGGTTTAGATAGTTTACTCATGCTACGTATCATTCTGGGATCTCAGTTGGAAAGTTTGAAGCTTTGTTTCAAGAACTTCAGTTTTTCTGAATTGGCTTCTTCATTGTAGTGATTGTATTTTTGAAATCAGCTTTGATGGCCTGAGGTATAGGAAGAACAGTAGTTTTATGAAGTCAGTCCTCAGATGAAAGAAATTAGTGTCTTCACTGGCTTTTATGACTGAGATCCACAAAGCTTCATTTTAGCTCCAATCTTGCTTAACTTCCTTTGGAAATGATTGCCTAGATTTGATCTTCAATGATGTAAGGATGCTGGTAATAAAAGGCGAGAGAGGCATGTTTAGGTACATGGGTCCAACAAATTCTTGTCCTCTCTTGTCAGAAAAGACAAATCTACTATCTTCTTTTAGTAAATTTGGTAATGGTTAATTGTGAGAAGACAGGACTTCTTTATTCTTATTGTGTATCTGTCTTTTCTCAATAGGGAAATGGTGCCTAGTTCACTGTTGTGCCCTTGAGGAAAGGAAAGATATTGAGCTTAAACTAAAAAAGGAGAGGGTAAGAGAGATTTTTGCTAATTTAAGATAACTTGGGTCTCCCAGCCAGAGAGATTTCAACCCAGGATATTGAATGAACTAGCAGGCGTGATTATAGAATTGCTGACAGAAATTGTTGAGAACGTGTTAGTTTGGCAAAGACCCAGAAGGTTGGGGAAGAGCAAATGTTGTCCCCATTTTCAAGAAAGGAAAATATAGACCCACAGTTTGATATCCATACTGGGCAAGATCCTCAAACAGATTATTAAAAAGCATTTGTGAGCTCTTGTGTAGGCATGCTTCAATTAACAGAAGACAGTCTGGGTTTCTCATAAACAAATATTGCCAGACTTAGCTTCACCTCTTTATTTGTTAAGTACAGTAATTTAATAGAGCATGAAATCCATGGACACAATGCATCTAGATCTCAGTAAAGCCTTTGACAGTCTTTCGCAAAATTATTTGTTAATAAAATGAGAAAATAAGGGCTAGAGAGAAGATTCAGAAAGATCCAAACAGGTTGGAACAGTGTGCTGAAATGAAAAGGAGACCTTGTTGACCATAAATTAAACATGAGCCAATGGTGTAAAGCATCAGCTGCCAGGAAGACAAGTACTATTGCAGGATATATTAATAGAAGCATAATGTCCAGATCATGGAAGAAATTGTTCAATTCAATTGCTCAGTTTCTGCCCTTATCAGTCCCTATTTGAAATATTTTGCCCAATTCTGGGCACCACAATTTAAAAATAGCCATGATAAATTAGAACAAGTTCAGAAAAGGGCAGTCAAAATGGTAAAGGATCTTGAAAATAAATCTTAGGAGAAATAGTGAAAGAATCTGAGGATGTTTAACTTACAGAAAGGACTAAGGGATGATATGATAGTAGTCTTCAAATACCTGAAGGATTACCACACAGATGAGGTAGTGGATTTATTCTCTATTGCCCTAGAAGCTGAACCAGAGACCAGAAAGGAGTTTCAGGCTAGATATCAGGAGGAACTTCCTGCCTCTACAAGCTGTTAACCAGTTGGACACACTGACACATGAAGTGGTGAGTTCTCCTTCATTGGAGGTTTTCAATCTATTATAGCTTTATATTGTTTATGTCTTATATTAAATATATTGTAAGCCACCTAGAGTCTAGTTAGAATGAGGTGGTGTATTCATTGCAAATAAATGAATAAAGATGTTGTAGTGCAGGGGTGGAGAACGATAGCCCTTTTATGAGTTGTGGACTTCAACTCCCATGCTGGCTCAGGAATTCTGGGAGTTGAAGTTCAGAAGTTATAAAGGGGCCATCGTTTCCCACTCCTGCTCTAGTGGATCCTGCATAGAGCAGAAGATAACCGCCGAGATTCCTTCCGACTCTCTAGGATTCCACAGTACTTCTATTACTCACTCTCTCATTTCTGAGTCTAGACATTTGGTGGACATCCTACATTAGTATACTAGGATCATTGGAGAGACTAAAAATCCAAACTTAGATTTAATTCAATTTACTAAATGTTCTCTTGGGATTTATAGTCAAGCTGGGAATGAATTTTCAGTTTGTTGTGGCTTCAATTTGCACTTCTCCCTAAATAAAAGGTTTACAGAGTGGAAATGTGCCAGTGTCTAGCTTTGCACTTGCATAACCATGTAGCAGCAATTTCCCATTACTTTTGCATAAATTCAGTTACAGTGTTGACTATTTTCCTGGTAAAACAGAGGTTGCCGTGGTAACTTCTTACTTAAAACGACTTAAATACATTCTCTGTACAGATGCATTGGAAAAAAGCTGATATTCTTGGTGGGAGCTTCTTGTGAACTTCAATTGATGCAAAATGAAGATTTGTATCTTCACAACACTAAATCTTTTTGGATGACCTTTTGAATTTAGGCAGCTTTCTCATAGCAATTTTGTGCTAATGGCAGGAAACTATTCTGCCCCAGGAGTTGTTTCCTTTCTCAATTTTTAATAGAAAGTCTGTCAAGGCAAAAGGGTTTGCTCCATCTTTTTTCTCTCACTGAAAACTTCTTTCTTCTCTTTTAATCATCTTCAGTGCTGTGAAATTGCTCTGTGCAATTAAGAAGGTAGACAAACTCTCCCTATCACAGATTTTAGCACGGTTGCCTGACTACCAACACCCACTAATGGCTTGAGCTGACAGTGGAATTAATCTGTGATTTAAGACATCGTGTTATGGTGCTGAATAATCTTATAGCTGTACTGCACAGCCTGCTTATCATGATTTATAACATTCAAATCAAAGACAAAATATTTTGGTAGTCTCTTATGTTTTTTCCCCTAGACATTTATTGCATATTTGTTCTTTCTTGGAATTTGTCAAGGGATCTGGAGTTCCTAATCTTCCACATAGAATCTTTCCAACTTTTTTCATGCCCCAGCAATGAAAAATGAGGGATGCTAAACAGAAAAATTAAAGTATCTTTTCCGTAAATTTGGACAGTCATCTTCTGAAAACACTCCTCATATCCCTTCCTGTTACTCCCTTGTGCTGATTTTGACCTTAATAAGCTCACAGTGGTTATCAAATCAGTATGTCAGGGTCTGAGGAGGGGCGCAGGTCAGCAGATAGTCTCGGCCTCCCCTGGTCCGGAACACCAAGACTCAAGAAACACACAGGCTAGGGCTAGGTCTCCTGGTTTAATGATTGTCTACAGCACACGGTGGAAACCGGAATGTGACACAAACAAAGACGCGGCTACTAGGAGCCGGTATCCGAGCCCTTTATAGGGCTGGCGCTGAGCTCTAAGCATCCGCAGCTGGGAGAATCCGACGTTTTAAATCCCCGCGGAAACTGATGCCGGTCGCGCAGCAATGACGTCAGACGCCCCGGCCTCCGATGGACACGGTGTTGCTTGTAGACCCTCCCTACACCTACGCGACCCCGGTATGCACACCCGTGTAGAAGGATGCCTAGTCGCAACCTAACCCCTTCACCAGCACCCCGTGCCCTACCGCCACCCGACCCATTAGGACCGCTGATCCGCAGTCCGAAGCATGATGTCGAGTGCATTGTGCCGCTCGACAGATAGATTGTGTGAATACAAAAATAAAAGCAAAGTGTACTGTTATAGATGAACATGCAGGTCCTTTTAATAGAAAGAAACCCTAGCCACTTTCAGCAGTTCATAAATCGACTGGCAAATACTGTGATAAATAACTCTTGTTAAATGAATTATTACAGTGGTGAAATCTAAAATTTGTTACTACCGGTTCTGTGGGCGTGGCTTGGTGGGGGGGGATAATGTGACTGGGTGGGCGTGGTCAATTTTTTTCCCCTTTTAAAACCATTTTTTCTACAACCTCTTTGGTGAAGAGGTTGTAAAAAAATGCTTTCAAAAGACTCTGACAATCCCAGCTGAGTTGCCTGATCAGCAGAGGCTTTTTTTTCTTTTAGATGCCTCTGACGATCAGGCAACTCAGCTTGGATTGTCAGAGGCTTTTAAAAGAAAAAAAGGGTTTTTTTCTTTTAAATGCCTTTGACGATCCAAGCTGAGTTGCCTGATCCAGCAAAGGCTTTTTTTCTTTTAAAAGCCTTTGAGGATCCCAGCTGAGCCGCACAATCATCAGAGGCTTTTTTTTTTACTTTTAAAAGCATTTTTTCAGCCGAAGAGGTTGTAGAAAAAATGCTTTTAAAAGTAAAAAAAGAAGCCTCTGATGATTGTGCGGCTCAGCTGGGCATGGGAGGGGGGGGCAGGGATTTTTGCTACTGGTTCTCCGAACCATCTGCCTCCATCGCTACCTGATCGGATGATCCGGTCCGAATCGGGAACATTTCACCCCTGAATTAGTCACAGTGGGTGGAGCTTTATCTTTTCTTGATATGCCGCCCTGTGCTGAAGCCAGTGTGAGCTAGGGGTGTGGTATTTGGATTCAAACGTTTCTTCAGGCACGAACCTTATAGAGGATCTAGGACCAATTACAAGTAGTCCGTGGCTTACCATCACAATTGAGATTTCTATTGCTAAGCAAAGCGGTTGTTAAGTGACTTTGGCCTATTTAACAATCTTTCTGGCCACAGTTGTTAAGTGAATCATGGCAATAGTTATATTAATAACACAGTTGTTAAATGATTCTACCTTCCCCATTGACTTGGCTTGTCAGAAGGTCACAAAAGGTGATCACATGACCCCGGACACTGCAACCATCATAAATATGCCAGTTGCCAAGCAACCGAATTTTGATCACTTGACCATGGAGATGCTGCAATAATTGTAAGTGTGAAAAACAGTTATGTTACTTTTTTCAGTGCCAATGTAACTTCGAATGGTTACTAAACGAATGTAAGTCGAGAACTACCTGTACTGCTAAACATATGTGACACATTTGATATGCTTCATGAATACAACAGTCATGTATGAAACTTGGCATTTCAAACTACCTGGAAGTCTTGCCCTTCTGCTATGCATGTTACCCTCAGGTATATAGATATATTTGTTATATATACATACTACCACACTAATTCTCCTGGAATAAGTGACAGTATGCAAAAAAAGCATAGAAAGTGAGCAAAATAAATTAAAGGGAGGAGAGAACAGAAAAGGAATTCTGTTTATATTTAAAAAGGTAAAGGTTCCCCTCGCAAATATGTGCTAGTCGTTCCCGACTCTAGGGGGCGGTGCTCATCTCCGTTTCATAGCCGAAGAGCCAGCACTGTCTGAAGATGTCTCCTTGGTCATGTGGCCGGCATGACTAAACACCAAAGGCGCACGGAATGCTGTTACCGTCTCACCAAAGGTGGTCCCTATTTTTCTAGTTGCATTTTTTACGTGCTTTCGAACTGCTAGGTTGGCAGAAGCTGGGATAAGTAACGGGAGCTCACCCCGTTATGCGGCACTACGGATTCGAACTGCTGAACTGCCGACCTTTCGATCCACAAGCTCAGTGTCTTACCGCGTCCGCTTTATATTTAGTTTACACTAAAATCTTTCCATATTTTACTGTCTTTATTTCTCCCTTGCCATCTTTTGTTCTTTAAAATTGTAACTTTTTTGTGGATCTCGTCAATATTTGTTTGCCTGTCTGTCTGTCTGTCTATCTACCTATCTACCTACCTACCTACCTTTCTCCATCCATTGATCCATCTATTTTTTTCTTCCCCTTTCTCTCAACTCATACATACACACACATACAGACACAGAGGCATTCAATCCTAAAAACTTTTTTAAGGTCTTGTCAGGAAAGCTTTGGAATCAGATCTTTGGTATTTATAGCATAACATTTACATGACTTTATCTGCCAATAAAAATTAGAAACAGCTATTATATAAGAAGGCAAGATGTACTATAATTTGTAATAGCTTTTCAAGACAGGAAGTAGAGACAAATTCTTCAGCTGGCAGAAGCAAGAGAGAATGAAGCTCAAGAATTCTCTGACCTTATGGTACCATGTTTTAAAGTCTCCCAGAATAGCAATGACTTAATAGAACCCAGATTTGATATGGAGAGAGAATAAGGTGAAGGTGCTAAGACAAAAATATCCTTTCTGTCAAAGGTTTTTCTTGGTGCCTGATGTAGGCTCAGAGTTAAAATTTTGCAGGTATGGCAACAGTAGCTTTCAGGAAAGAATGTGTTACAGCAGAAATCCCTAATTGAAGAAAGATGTATTTATTCATTTAGAATTATTTAGAAAATGTGGCTGCACAGTTTAAACAAATAACTGCAGGTGATTAATAAATAGTATACAAGGGAAGACCACATTGTACAATATAGAAAGAACTATTAAAAATAATAACACAGGTTGTCCTTGACTTACAACCATTCATTTGTAAGTGTTACAACAGCATTGAAAAAAGTGACTTAATGACCAGTTCTTGCATTTACATCCCCATAGTCATATGATCAAAATTTGGGCACTTGGCAACCGGTATTTATTTACAATGGATGCAGAGTCCAGGACCACGTGATCTTTATTTGCCACCTTCCCAGCAGGCTTCCAACAAGCAAAAGTCAATGGGGGAAGCTGGATTCGCTTAATGACCATGTGATTCATATAACAACTGCAGTGATTTGCTTAACAACTGTGGCAAAAAAGTAATAAAACCA